GAATCAACCCTCTGCGGGAAATGACCCTTACTTGCTATAATACTCTTTAAGATGACACATTTAAGTTAAGTAAGGAAAATTAATTGGAATGTGATTTGTAACGTATTAATTTTGGTGCTGTGTCGTCGGGGATTGTTTTATCAATTTGTTAATTGCAATATTTTTCATTTTGTTGTTTTTCTATTTATTTTTGTTATTTTCTTTGTCATTTAGGCTATGAATGAGCAAAAAGTCTATAACACACTACAACCTAAGATCAAGAAAAGAGGTCGACACATCGGAAAATGGAGAAGACATTTCTCCAACTAGACATCTAAGGCGATTGAGCATTGAATCCTCAAGTGACTCTGAACACATAGAGCCCGAAATGGCGAATGCAAATCGGACCTTAAAGGAACTTGCAGCTCCAACTTTTGTTCAACAACCTCTATGCATTCAATATCCCCAAGTGGAGGTGGGATTTGAACTAAATCCGGGATGATTCATCTACTTCCCACATTTCATGGATTCGTCAAAGAGAATCCAAATAAGCATTTGAAAGAGTTTCATGTAGTTTTCTCAAGCATGAAATCGGTGGGTATATCAGAAGAGCAAGTGAAATTGCGTGCATTCCCTTTCTCTCTTGCAGACACTGCTAAGGAATCGCTCTATTATTTGCTGTTGGTCTTATTACCACGTGGAATGAAATGCAAAAGTTCTTCTTGAGAGGTATTTCCCAGCTTCAAAGGCTACAAACATCAAGAAAAAAATATGTAGCATTCGACAATCTCAAAGGAAAAATCTCTATGAGTATTAGGAGAGATTCAAAAGGCTATGTGCTAGTTGCCCAAACCACTAAATCAGTGAGCAATTACTTCTACAATACTTCTATGAAGGATTGCTCCCGATGGAGAGAAGTATGATTGATGTGGCTAGTGGAGGAGCTTTAATGGATAAAACATCGGCAGTTGCTAGGGATTTGATAGCCACCATGGCCACAAACTCACAATAATTTGGTAGTAGAGAAGCGGCACCGGTTAAACAAGTAAGTAAGGTAGGAACAACCTCTCAAATTGAACGACAATTAGTCGGTCTTACATCATTTGTGCAACAAATGGCACTTGGGACAATGCAACAAGCAAAAGTGTGCGGGATTTGTTCTATTGTAGGACATCCTACTGAGGCATGCCCGACACTACAAGAATGAGCCTTAGAGCAAGCGAATGCCATTGGGGGATTTCCAATGCAATGGAGATAGAGATATGATCTATATGCTAACACATATAATCTTGGATTTAGAGATAATCCTAATCTCAGTTATGGAGGAAATCATTTCATAGCTCCACAATCACAGTTTAATCATCCCTCGGGGTTCAATCAACAAAGGTAACCACAACACCCACAACCTCGTCAACAAACTCCACCACAAAGTTCAGAGATGTCTCTTGAGGATATGGTTAAGTCTTTGGCTTCTAGTACAATACAATTTCAACAAGAGACAAAGACATGAATTAAGAATTTGGAGACACAAGTGAGTCAATTGGCCAATACGGTGGGTAAATTGGAGACTCAAGGATCGGAAAAACTTCCTTCTCAAGCAATCAACCCTAGAGAAAATGCTAGTGCCGTGACACTAAGATGTGGAAAAATTTTGGAAGAGGCACCAAGGAAAATGAAAGATCAAGTTGAGGAGTTAACTCAAAAGAAGAACTTACTCCAACTGCAGTATCTAAGGTAGAATCTATAAGTTCTATTCCTACTTATGTTCTCTCCCCTCCATTTCCTGGTAGGTTTGCAAAGTCCAAAAATGATGAACATGAGAAAGAAATCTTGGAGACTTTTCGCAAGGTTCAAGTAAACATACCACTTTTGGATGTAATTTATCAGGTGCCACATTATGTAAAGTTCCTCGAGGATTTGAGCACTAACAAGCATAGATTGAAAGGTAATGAAGTGGTAAGTGTAGGGAAAAATGTCTTAGTGGTCTTGCAAAAGAAACTTCCACCAAAATGTAAGGACCCTGGAAGTTTTGCCATCCCTTGAATTATTGGTAACACTAGGTTTGAAAAGGCAATGCTAGATTTAGGAGCATCTATTAATGTCATGCCATATTCTATTTATGCTTCCTTAAATCTAGGATCACTTAAAGAAACCGGTGTTATTATTCAACTTGCTGATAGATCTAATGCATTTCCAAAGGGTGTGTTGGAGGATGTTTTGGTGCAGGTAAATCAATTAATTTTTCCGACAGATTTCTACGTTCTTGACATGCAAGATGAACCAACATCTTTGTCGCCATCGTTGCTCTTGGGAAGACCATTTATTAGGATTGCACGTGCAAAGAGAGATGTGCATGATGGTACATTGACTATGGAGTTTGATGGTGAGATTATTCGCTTCAACATCTTTGAAGCAATGAGGTATCCTAGTGACATTTATGCTTGTTTTTCAATTGATATAATAGATTCATTAGTACAAAAAGTTTTTGAATTATCAAATGAAGATGCATTGGATATCGCTTTGATTAAAAGTATTGATGTTAACAATCTCATCGGGTTGAGCAAGAATTTACAAGTGTACAAGGATGTTGTAGAAATCGTGGCATCACTACTATGTATTCTACCAAGGTATGATCTTTCCTATATTACTCTTTGGAACTCAAACCTCTTCCCGAGCATTTGAAGTATGTATATTTGGGAGAGGGGGAAACAATTCCAATGATCATTGCAAAGAATCTCACAACACTTCAAGAAAATAGGCTTATCTGTGTGCTCAAGGAACACAAAATAGCTATTAGTTGGACAATAGCCGATATCAAGGGGATAAGTCCTTCTATGTGCATGCACCAGATAATGCTCAAAAATGGAGCAAAGCCATCAAGAGAAGCACAACGTCGCTTGAATCCTCCTATGATGGAGGTGGTAAAGAAAGAAATTTTGAAATTGCTAGATGTTGGTGTCATCTTTCCCATCTCCGATAGCAAGTGGGTAAGCCCGGTCCAAGTTGTTCCCAAAAAGTTCGGAATCATAGTGATGACGAATGAAGAGAATGAGCTTGTACCGACTCGGGTCCAAACGAGTTGGAACGTTTGTATTGATTATAGAAAACTTAATTGTGCAACCCGAAAAGTCACTTTCCCTTACCCTTTATTGATCAAATGTTGGAAAGGTTAGCAGGTCATTCTCATTATTGTTTTCTTGATAGTTATTCAGATTATAACCAAATTGTGATTGCTCTGGAGGACCAAGAGAAAACAACATTCACTTGTCCATTTGGCACCTTTGCTTATCGGCGCATGCCCTTTGGCCTTTGCAATAGTTTCGCAACCTTTCAAAGATGCATGATAAGTATATTCTTCGATTATCTTGAAAGCATTATTGAGGTCTTTATGGATGATTTTATGTTTATGGTAATACCTTTGATAGTTTCCTGGAAAATCTCACACTTGTGCTTAAGAGATGTATGGATGCTAACCTAGTACTTAATTGGGAAAAATGACATTTTATGGTTGATCAAGGCATAGTGTTAGGCCATGTCATTTCTTCCAAGGGGATAGAAGTTGATGAATCTAAAATTGATCTAATTCATTCTTTACTTCCTCCAACAAGTGTGAGAGAGGTTCGTTCTTTTCTTGGACATGCAGGATTTTATTGAAGGTTTATCAAGGACTTTTCCAAATGTGCAAGACCACTATGCAGGCTGTTGCAAAAGAAGATGCCATTTTACTTTGATGAAGATTGTAAAAAGGCATTCGAAAGTTTGAAGGAACTTTTGAAGTCGGCACCTATCATTCAACCACCAGATTGGAACAGGCCATTTGAGTTGATGTGTGATACAAGTGACTTTGCATTGGGAGCCGTTTTAGGGCAACGAGTTGGAAAGACACCTCATGTTATATATTATGCATCAAGGACTTTGAATGATGCCCAACTCAATTACTCTACTACTGAAAAAGAGCTTTTAGCAGTTATTTTTTGCCTTAGAGAAATTTTGTTCATATCTTATTGGCACTAAAGTAACTGTCTTTTCTGATCATGCAGCTCTTAGGTACTTGCTTGCCAAGAAAGAGGCAAAATCAAGGCTCATTAGATGGATACTCCTCTTACAAGAGTTTGACCTTGAGATTAAAGACAAAAAGAGGAGTGAAAATTCTGTGGCTGACCACCTCAGTCGCCTTATCCATGAGAGAGAAACTCTCACATTGCAAGAAAGCTTCCCCGATGAACAGTTGCTTCTTGTCACAGACACATCTGCTTGGTTTGCAGATATAGCGAACTATTTAGTTACTAAGAAAATTCCAAGTGACTTGATCACCACTCAAAGGTAAAAACTCAAGGCGATGGCCAAGTATTTTATGTGGGATGAGCTGTACTCGTGGAAACATTGTTTGGATCAATTGATAAGAAGGTGCGTGCATGAAAATGAATTTCATTCAATACTTACCTTTTGTCACTCCTATGCATTTGGTGGACATTTTGGAGCAAAGTGGATTCTATTGGCCCACCCTATACAAAGATGCATTCCTCTTTTGCAAATCTTGTAATCGATGTCAAAGGGTAGGTACGTTGGGAGCCCGAAATCAAATGCCACAAACACCCATACTTTTTGTTGAAATTTTTTATGTTTGGGGCATTGATTTCATGGGACCTTTCCCTTTATCTTATGGTAACCTTTACATCATTCTTATCATTGATTATGTGTCAAAATGGGTAGAAGCAAGGACCACTCGAACTAATGATTCTAAAGTGGTTCTAGATTTTGTCAAATCCAACATTTTTGCAAGGTTTGGAACACCAAGAGCTATTATTAGCGATGGAGGACTACATTTTTGCCACCATTCCTTTTGGGCCTTATTGAAAAGATACAATATCACCCATAAAGTGGCTACACCTTACCATCCACAAACTAGTGGGCAAGTCAAAGTGTCTAATCGAGAGGTCAAATCCATCCTCGAAAAAACAGTGAATCCCAATAGAAAGGATTGGAGTCTCCACCTTAATGATGCACTCTAGGCTTATAGGATGGCATACAAAACACTGATTGGCATGTCCCCTTATCGGTTAGTTTATGGTAAGCCTTGTCATCTCCCGGTTAAACTCGAACATAAGGCATTTTGGGTAGTCAAGCAATGCAACATGAACTTAGGTGCAGCGGGTGATCAAAGAAAGGTTCAACTCAATGAACTTGAGGAAATTCGAAATGACGCCTATGAAAGTTCAAGAATTTACAAGGAAAAAACGAAGGCGTATCATGATAAAATGATTTCAAGAAAGGCTTTTGTTGTTGGACAAAAAGTTATTCTTTTCCACTCGTGCCTCAAGTTATTTCCAGGTAAATTACATTCTCGATGGATTGGCCCTTTTGTTGTTGCTAATGTCTTTCCTCATGGTGCAGTAGAAATCAAAAGCCTTCAGACCGAGAAAGAGTTTAAGGTGAATGGACATCGATTAAAGTCATATTTTGAACCCTTCGTACCACAAAATATGGAGAAAATACGATTGGAGGATCCAATCGAAGAAGCATGAGAGAGGACGCTTATTTTTGTTTTTGTGAATTTTTGTCACCAATTGTCCCCAACCATCAAAACAGCCATCACCGTCAATACAACTAGGTGAGTATTTGAACCTCTTACGCTTTCTGTTTCTTTTTGCTTTTACATTGCGAACAATGTGCAATTTAAGTTTTGGGATGAGGTGGTATGTGCTAAATTTTTTGTAGAATTTTGTGGTTTGTGTTAATTTTGTTCTCGCTAAAAAATTAAAAAGTCGGGTTAAACACTTGTTTTTATGCTTGTTTGTGTTGTTTGACAGTTTTGCCAATTGCATTTTGAGCATTGCATTGCATTGATTTATGAATTGGGAACATAAATGCTAAGTATTGTTTATTTTCATACACTTATTCCATGATTGACTCTTTATTGAGCAATTGGGTCATGAGATTCATCACACGCACTTGTTGGTTGCACTTGTAGGTTGTTAACGAACTTAAATGGCCATAATATTAGAAATTCTTCAACTAATCTACTGCCACACGTTTCCACAACGTGAAATTATACCTCAAGTGTACGCTGTCAAGTTTTGTAATATAATACTAAAGTAAGAGTGTCGAACCCACAGAGATTGTATTTAATTTTCACTAAGTACTATAATTATGCAATTTCTACTTTATTTAGATGAATGTATGATTGAATTGATGTTTTATGAATGAACAATTTAAACTAAACTAACGTAATTGGATGTGACAAATTCGGGGAATACAAATTATCTAATGAGAGGGCTTAGGGATTGATTTTACCTAAATTTCAATTATGATTCAACAAATTCAAATTATTCCAATTAACTTTTCCATATTTAAAAGCAAGAATCCTAATGTATTTCTAATCCCCTCTCTCGAGCACCGATTAGAAATTAACCCTAGATCCCAATTCTAACATCTCTATTCAAAATTGAAAATCAATAATTTAATAAAGATCCGATTCTTTTATGGAGTATGCTTCACAGATTTATACTTTCTCTCGAAACTTATAAATTCTATGTTGTATCACTCTTATGATCACGCCTAAATTCCCACTCTCTTAAGCACCATAATTGACTAGCATCAAATCATCCAATTGTTGATTAGGCAATTGAAAACATTAAAATCATGATACAATTAAATATATGCGGAAAAATCAAAGAAATAATTATAAAATCATCAAACCATAATTTTGGTTCGGCTACATCAAACCCCTAGATAAATTGTTTAATTCATGGTATAATAAATGAAAATCATTAAAATTATAATAAACAACATAAGGAAAATGATAGAAAAAATTAGTCTTTTGGGTAGATCTTCAATCTTCTTTCTTGATGTTGTTTCTCATTCCTTTTGATATCTTCAATTTTTTCCTCCTTCAAATTATGTGGTCGAATTCTTCAATCTTGTCCCCTTCCCTCCTTCTTGAAAATAGGGTTTTTGAATGGAACTTATAGTATGTTAGGGGTCTTGGACGAAATAGGGTTGAATTAGGCCAATAAAAGAGTCCAAAAACATAAAACCGCGTTCTCCCGCATATACCGTGCCTTGGCTCCTATTGGTGCTGCAGCGCCGCCTATTCTATTAATTTTCAATCAGATGGGCGCTGCACGACGCTCGGTTCGGTCGAAATGGCAGATTGTACATTTTTTAGTATTTTTAGCATAACTTTTACATCTGATGTCCAATTGAGATGATTCAAGATGCATTGGAAAGATAACTCAAAGGGCTACAACTTTTCTTCCAACATCATTCATCATCTTGATCATTTGACATGATAAAAATGGGTCTCAATACGAGGCTGAAACTCCGAGGCATAACTTTTCAGTTGGAAATTGATTTGTGATCATATTTTGACTAAATTATATCCCTTTGACATCTTTTTTCATCTAATTGACTCCTAGCACTCTCGGATCTTCATTGCGAGGTTCAACACAACTTTTCAATATTTTCACTTTAGTCCCCGAACTTTGGATCTCTTACAATTTGGTCATTTTCTCCAATTTCACCAACTTTTGCTTATTTCTTTCAATTTCATCAACCTACATTAAAACACACATTAAAAAGCTCTAAAAAACTCTCAAGAGTAGCAAAATAACAATTTATGTGGCATAAATATCATGAGTGTAGAGCATTCATCATCTACTAATGAAAGGATAAGTTTGGGAGTGGTTGAACTGGTGAAAGAAATTATTTAGAATTGTATTAATTCCCGACTCAGTGATTGATTTTGTGGAATGCTCTTAGACTTCAAATGAAAGTTAGATGTTGTTTTTCATCTATTGATATTTCATAAAAAAAAAAAATCTGTAGGAAAAAGTTGCCTACCCTAAGAAGTGTGAGTCAGCATTGATTAATCTAGCCCTATGCATCACTAATGTGTAGGAGACGATTTACGAATGAAGAAGGTTACTCTTAAGGACCAGAGCGAGAACGACCTGCATTGGAAAAACGAAGAAAAATAAAAGGGATGCTATAAGCATCTATGGGTGCTTTTGTTGAAGAATTGATGGATTGTGAGTAATTTCCCTAACATAAGTTTGTGGTCTAAGCACTTAAAAAAAATTTTGGCGAATTAATACATGACTAGATGATCTATTTTATTGGTTCAACCCAACCAAATTTGAGAGGGAAAGATTGAGTGATGAGGGCAACCTTAAGTTTTTTACACTTTGGGCTAGAGTGAAAATATCAAGTTTGGGGAAGTGTGCATCCCACGAGTGAGAAAAGAAAATTTGACCATTGAGGGTCGGGAAAATCACCAACTTATATATTGTGATGAATTGGAATGACCACACACACACACAAGTCAAGCATGTTATAAGTTAAAGAGTGTTTGTTGTAGTATTTTTGTAAACATTTCATAAGTTAGTTGCATAATGTAAGGCTTGAAGCAAGTGGCAAACTATCTAACATTTGGAATGTTTGTTATTATAGTATTATCGTTTGGTTTTAATTTACATGTTTATATGCTTGTTTGTATAGCTTTGTTCGAGGACTAACAAAAATTTAAGTTTGGGGGTGTGATAAGTGCGGGTTTTTGCACTATTTCGGACCATTAAACTTAGATATCTGTGAGTTTCATTAGCGATTTATTAATTAATTTAGCTATTTTTATTGTGAAGGTGAAAACCTGACTTTGAACGATGATTTGAAGGTATTTATGTGAGAAAAGACGAAAAAGATAAAGGAAGCATGAAGATGTTGAAAGAGAATGATTCTATTAAAAAAAAAATTCAATGAGCTGAGCGCCGCAAACAGAAAACAAAAATTGTACCGCCTAGGCGCCACTCAGGCCGTCTTTAATTGTTTTCAAAATTCTAGGGACCAATGCTGCAATTTCCTTTAGGTTTTAGGTTAAAACATTCAACCAAACATAAGATTTTCAATTCTTGGAACTCTAGGGAAACAGCTGGTTCTTCTTCTTCTTCTTGCCTTTTGTTTTCTTTCTTTTTCCTTTTCCTTTCACCTATATTTTCTTAGACATATTGGGAAAGATTGGAACATGGAGATGGTACATTAACTTGGAGAAGATGACCCGTTGATATTGGAGGATTTTCTACCATTTCTCTCTTTATCAATAAGTTTTTCTTTTAACTTTTTCCATCAATATTTTGTAAGAAAATGTTAGTTATTTGTGAATATTTCATGGGTAACTAATTATATTTGTGATTGGGGATTATTTCAAACCCGAGTTATGATTTTAAATTAATTTGTGCTTTATAATTCTCTTAATTAATGTGTTTAATCCATTGTGTTAAATGTTTATTTTGTTCTTCTTGATTGTTTAGGTATACAACTAAATGATTAAGTTGCTTCGATGAATGCTATTTTGGGATTAGTAGTATGTAATAGCTATTGATTCTAAAACCTAGTAGCAATTACATTTCGATAAATTATGAAGAATTTTCAATTAAATGTATGTGGATCAACACTAAAGTTAATAAACCGAACTTGTGAGTTTACCCTTAATTCAATTCATCTCTTTTGTCGTAATACATTTATTAAATTAAATCTAGAGATCTTGTTCTAGGCTGTTTAATGAATAGGGTTGAGTAAAGAGCTTGTTTTATTCGACTAACATGTAAGAAGAGATTGAGGTAATTGAGCTTGTAATTATTCTCGAATTGTTGTTAATCTTGAGAACGAAAATCTAATGTGATTATTGACATGAAAATCATTCTCGTGGCGACGAAATATCCCTCAATCACATTTTCTCACATTCAATCAAGAACCAATTTGTTTATTTCAAATTTCAAGTCTTTTCTAGTTTGAATTTATCGCTTTCCTTAGTTCAACAAACCAAACCCCCCATTTAATATATTTCGTAGATTATTATTAATTTTACTTTTTAGTGCGCAATTGACATAATTGAATCAATCCTCTGTGGGAAATGACCCTTACTTGCCATAATACTATTTAAGACGACACGTTTAAGTTAAGTAAGAAAAATTAATTGGAACGTAATTTGTAACATATTACCTGCGCTTTACAATTCAACGCAACCTAACGGACTCTACAATTCAACATAACCCAAGGGGCTTTCCAATTTGACATAGCCCAAGGGGTGTGGTGGCGAGCAACAGAACCAAAAAACTAGTTAAGGATCGATAATTGAAATATAAAAATCGAAATTGCTACTCGAGCATACGATCAACGCATACGTGTTGACAGCATAACAATCGACCCATGCCTGTCAGCCATATGATAGTCGACGACTAACATTTGCCGTTATATAACTAGGCACACCCTCACTGGTTATCGCACTCACTAATTACTACGTGATAGAATAAGAAAAGTTGCTGGAGAATAGGCAACTTAACTTTTACACATTAGCAAGCAGCATCTATATGACAAAATAGATAGAGATTAAACAACAATAATGTTCAATGAGAAATCATTCCTATCCAAAATAAAGTGTGACTTTCTGTCCACATCCCGGACCAGGAAAAACCACTAGACAATCATATGATAAAATGAATAACGGTAGACAGTGCTAAAAATCAGTAGCAAAAGACTACTTCAACCTAAGTGGGAAGTCCCTTTCACACTCTCATTGCGATTTGTGCCTGAATATCTTGGGTTGATTAGCTCTGCTATCTCTTCCCTTACATTGAGCCAGAATACCTGTCAAAACCCAAAGATTCGATAGAAGGGTGCTCAGCAGCTACCTACTTCTTGGCCAATTTGATGGATGCTCCATTGCCTCCTCCTATATGAATATAAGGCATTGGCATTAGAGGTGGGCAAAAACCGATCCAAACCGTCAGTTTTTGCAATGAAATGGGTTGGGTTCGGGATATTATTTACCATTTTTTGTCGGGTTGGGTTGGGTTATGGGTTACCCTTTAAACCCGAACCCAACCAGCCCAACCCGACCCATAAGGAAAATTAATATAAAAAAAAGTCTTGAAAAATGAAAACAAAAAATGTGTATTTCCTCTCTCCCATTTCCATTTCCATTTCCCCTTAAATAAAACCCTAGTAGTCTCCTCCAATCCATCACATGAAATCCCAAATGCAACTTTTTTCTTTTGCCTTTCTCATTGCCAGTAGCCACTATCGGTCTCACACACCACCCCCATGGCCAAAGGACCTAAGCACCTAACAATAGATCTGTTTTTAACCAAAGTGAGTTTATTATTTTTATTTTTTTTAAACGTGGATTAAAATTTTCATATAGTATTTGAAAATGCGGTAATGACTTCTATTCTTGTTTTTGTTATTCTTAATAATTCATATGTTTTGTGATTTTTTCTGACTTATGATGAATTTCTACGATTGTGCAATGTTCGATTTGCTAAGGAATTGGGTAGTGGGAAAAAGATGAAAAACATAAATAAATAAAACTTCAAAGTTCTGTCGAAGCATTAATAATTTGTAGATTTTAAAGACCTTATAGAAAAATTACCAATTGATAATACTTTATTACTTTAGTAAGTTTGGATATTTATTGGTAATCATAGTTCCATTTCAATTTTATGGCTCTTGGAAGATCACAGTTGAAGTTTATGCTTGATTTTGCTTACTTTCCCTTCAAAAAATGAAGAAACACAATCTATATTTGGACATTAATAAAAAAAAGTTATATCTTTATCTTTTCAATTTATCTTGCTTCTATTTGGAATAAGGATGGATACATTCTTCTAAACTGTGCTATTTTTTCTCAATATAGGATATACTTTTCAAAGTTAATGATGTTTCAGGGACTTTTCCTCTCTTCACTCAACACACAATCCCCAAGTTTGAATGTGGTGTCTAGCAGGTTGGTAGAATTTATTTTATCTTTTATGTGAGCTTCTTACTCTTTTATCATCTATGTTAGTTTAAACATTTTATATTCATTTCTTGATTGGTCTTGTGTGTAATTTTCTGACCGTCTTCCTCATTTTCTTTGCATTTTGATCAATGGAAGGACAAACCAAATTCCATTATTTAAATTAAGTATAAAGAAGATATCAAAACCCAAAAAATGGATAACTTTAATCTTCATTGACAAGTTGCCCAAACCGACCAACCCAACCCGACTGATACTTGATTGAGTTGGGTTTCAACCTTTACACGAGTTGGGTTGGGTTAAATTTCCATCAAACCGATCACCTTGGGTTGGGGAAAAAATCGACTTAACCTAACCCACGCCCACCCCTAAGTGGCATAATATGAGGATGATTTATACAGCTCCACGGATGCCTCTAGGCCCTTAGTATACTCCGCTGAGGCCTTATATCATTATATTTCCTCCTTCGGTACTTGGGCCAAAACAAATCACAAGTTATCATGTCTGTCTCTTCCTCGCGAGCTCGGGCCTCTAAAACTTCGAGAGACTTCTTTAAAGGAGAAACTCTCTTCGTGTAGTAGTGAGCTTCCTTCTTCTTTGCTTTTGCAAGAGCCTTTAGCTTCAATGTTGGACGGTGGCTTGACTCAACAAGCTTAGTCTGTAAGGCTACAACCTAACAAGTGAAGAGACAAATGATAAACAATTTTTAGGCATACTCAAGAGAATAGACATAAACGAAAAGGATGAAGCATGGCAAGAAGTTTACCCTCTAAGTGTAAACCGCCAAAACCCTCTCTACATCATTAGCACTTCGCCCAACAAGTTCCCTAGCACGAGCGGACATAACCAAAGACCTAAGTATCATGATACGAGCAGAGTGCTCAACACCTTATTCAAATCAAAGCCCATGTCTATATGCGCACAATTGAGTTCATCAGGCTTGAAAAATAGCAAGTACAAGTATATATAAGTGTAAAAGTAAGGGAAGAGAAAGAGAACCGACCGGTAGGTTGATTGATCTCCACTATCAACATATTCCTCCCAGTCAAAACTGACCTCAAGTCGGGTACAAGAGATGGTATATCGATCAATTGTTGTATTTTTGTTCTTACGAGAGGAGTAAGCTCGACATGACTATTGAAGAGACGAATTTGAGGATGTCTCCAATTAGTGTTGAATGAGAATTGGCCTTCCAAAGGACGAACAAAGAAGAATCAAGACTTCTACCTACTATTAGAATTCCTAAATTTGGGAAAATATAAGGGGACTTTAGAGGTGAAGAAGACAAAGGTATTATACTGAGCTAGTTCATGCATCTCAAAGATGCACCAAAAGAGGTCTACTGAGATAGGAGTTTCTTTGCTAAGGTAAATGTATAAGAAATACAACTCCTTCCTCCATGCGTTAGGATCTATTTGGCTATGAGTGAGGTAAAATTCATTGAAAATTGAGACAAAGAAGCGATAGATGGGTAATTAAAGACCCCATCCATAATGTCTTTATACATAGCAATCTCGTGGGGACCCAGAAAGTCTCTCTTTAGGCCTAGGGGCTCTATAATCATAATTGTCAACATGGTCAAATTTGTTAAGTAATTTTTTCAATTTGATTGAGAAGTTATGAATGCTATAACATTTTGGAATATCAAGAACAACTACCTCGCTTGTTGAATTCTGTCCAATTTCTAAATTTTGGTTCAAAGACTTAGTTGAGCCAATATGCTTTTTAGAATAACTTGGTTGAAAGATATGAAGTTCAGCAGAATGGGCGGGCTATCGAAATCACAAAAAGATCGATTAACCCCATGATAGGTACTAGAAAGGCTGGTTGGTCGTTAACTAGCTTTGGTCGACGATCGACCCTGTCGACTAGCTTTGTTGACCGGCCATATTCTAGCGAGCGTCGATCGACTCATCCGACTATGCGTTGGTCGACTTGTCCACCCCCTTGTTTACACTTTTGTTGGAAGATGAAGATAAAATATTTCTATACATCACGATGGAATGAAGAAAGACAACTTGAAATACTAAGATAAATGAATAACAGAGGAAGAAATTACCTTAAGAGTTTGAAGGGATTAAATTTCTAGAATTTTTGTAAATGGGGAAGAGAATGAAGAAGGGAGCTCTCCACCCATTTATATAGATGATAATTTTGAATTTTTAGGGAGAAATTTCTCCCCAATATCAAACCCATCCATGGGGTGCCATTTGTACAATAATACTATTATTCTACGCCACTCAGATCGCCCAACCCATTTATATTATACCAAATGTTGCTATGTGGTGGATCAATTTCAAAAAATAGAAATAAAAATCAATCAACGTGAAAAAAGTGAAGATGTCTTATCGATAAACATCAACAAGAGGTAGATGGACTAGTAATATTAGATAGCATCAATAATTATCTATGATGGCCAACAAGGTGAAGACTATCCAATAGACACGCTATGTTGAGTACTACATGTTAGGCCATCTACCACTATGAGGCCCTCTATGTTTATAATAGGCCGTCTACCAATATAAGGCTCTCTACATTCATACTAGGTAGTCTACCATTATGAGGCCGTCGATCACTATGAGACTCTCTACGTTCACACAAAGTCATCTATCATTATGAGGTCATCTACCACTGTGAGGTACTCTATGTTCATATTAAGTCGTTTACCATTATGAAATCATCGATTGTTATGAGGCTTTTTACGTTCATATTAGGCGGCCTACCATTATGAAGCCCTCTACCACTACAAGACCAAGACAGCACTTAACCATAAAACATCCTTGAGTTGGATGGAAATTGTTCAACAGTTATCATGGACATAACCAATCGGTGTATAAGTGCAGGTCCTCTACTTAGAACATGGGGGTAGTGGGAGGTACTACGTGAGACACGTGGCACAATAACCATCCAGAAATTACATGGCTTCAGACACCTATAAATCCTCTTTAAGCGAGATAGGTATGGGTCTTGAAATTTTGACTATCTAAATACATATTCTATATTTTCTTCCGAAGTCTAAGTTCCTAAATTCCTTATTAATTCTCACGCTGAAGGTACAACAGGGGAGAGAGCCCAACCTCATTTCGCAGGTAATATTTGTTCATCGAAGTAGCTGAAACACCTTAAGTTTCCAAGAAGGCACGCGGATTTGTTTCATAACCATTTCAGCTCGAATCCATAAAGAATGAAATTGAAACACTTGATCAACTCACAGTAGATTTAACCTATTTTCAATTAAATTGTTCAATTTGATAATAGAATTTTGCCGAAGTTTATTATAAGGCGTCTTTATTATATAATTGAACCAAATTTTGAATCAATTTTCAAATTTTTTTCATTTCAAGTCTAATTCGATTTTTGACCCATTTACCCTTCCCCTCTCTCCAAATAGCAAACTAATAATAAGTAATAACATGTTTTGTTGAACACCAAAAAAGGTTATATTTTTGTATCTTATTTTTTAAAGATAAAAATTAACTTATTTTGAAAGTAAATATTACCTTATGACAAATAAAGTAATTTAATTACTTCTAATTTTTGAGTTTTTTTTTTTTAAATCTTCCGCAACCTATAGTCTCCTTGCGCAATCAATCGCTATTCTTCATTTTTTGACATTGACATTTTCTACCTACTATTTGTTTATATGCGATATCAGTAATTAAAGACACATTATATCCACATTACTCGTAAAATTCATATGGGATGTACATATTTAGAAAGTGACAAATGCACTGATGATCGCCTAATTTTGAGCCGAGGTGCATTTAGGTCATTCATTTTCAATTTGATGTAGGGTTGTCAACGAGCCGAAACTTGAGGCTCGATCAAGCTCGGCTTGGTTAAAATGGTCGAGCTTTTTCTCAGGCCCGAGCCTGGCCAAGCAAAAGCTCGCCCAAAATTTTTAGGCTCGACTCGAGCTTTCAACTCGAGCCTTTCCGAGCCGAGCCGAGCCGAGTAGGCCTGTTTTTCTCTCTCAATTTTTTTATTTTTTTTTTAATAAAGTTGTTGCCTTTAAAGGCAACAGCTGGCTACCTTAAAAAGGCTGCCTTCTTAAGGTAGTAAAAACTGCCCTTTAAGGCAGCAGTTGCTGCCACTTATAAGCTGTTGTAATTTTATTTTTATTTTTATAAAAGCTCGCAGATTTACGGGCCGGCTCGGGCAAAGCTCGTGTCCCCAAAATGGGGCTTGGCTTGAGCCTTGGCTCGGATCTATCGAGCCACGAGCAAAGCCGGCTTGGACTTTTTTCGGGCCGAGTCACGAGCGGCCTGAGCTGACGAGTTCGATTGATATCCCTAATTTGATGCAATTAGATCAATCAAGTCGTCCAACTTTGGCTTATTTGTAAATCTACTTATTTTATGAATTGATCCCCCAATTAACTAATGTAATATACTTACGTGAAAATTAAAACTAACGTGATTATCGATATGTCTACGTTACACAACAATACAAGTTATCTATGTTTTTTTTTTTTTTTTAAAAAAATCATGTAAACTGAAATAACAATATTACATGTCAACTATTCATCATAATTAACATTGAGATCAACATATTTCGTTATATAAATTCAACAGTAGGTCAAAAGTGACCAGATCTATAAGCAAATAGAAGTTGATTGACTTAATTGCACCAAATTGAAGATGAATAACCAAATTTGTAAGTAAATCGATGAATGATATGATTGCACAAAATTGAAGATTAGTGACTTAGATGTACCTTCGCTCAAAGTTGGATGATTCACATTATATTTAACTTTATTTTAGTATAAATATATTTATACCTTCATTTTGTTTGTTAAAAGTTATGTGCAGCATCGGTCATCTTCTTCACCGACTACAAGGGTTGATAAACTTTTGAGTGCATGTTTGGTAGAGCTTATAATTTAAGTTGAATAAAGATATTTTTTATCTATACATTTTTTTTTTCGTAAACTTCCATTGATCAAAATTGTTCATATGCAAGTGCACCGATCATAGGACGCTTAGCCTAATAATCCACAAAAAACTCTACCAAACATATGTGTCGGGGGTTGGTACCAAGAAAGTAAAGAACGTAGATTTATTGCGCACAAAGGCCACAAATTGGGTACTGTTTGTGTCATTAATAACTTATTTATTTTTAAGTAGCCTTCATTTGCATATTTATTCTCTCTCCATCAACTCAAGTTACACTACATCCAAAACACCTCTCTATCAACACGCTAGAGTTCACAGATTTCTCAGATTCAGCAGCAATTATTTGCAGTACAAAAAGCTTATAAACCAGATCAACAATGGCGAAGCCAAACCCTCGCAAGCCACCAAGTGGACGCACAAATCTAGCCTCATGCATAGTCGCAATAATCTTCCTAATGTTCATAGCCATAGTTGTTCTTATCGTGTTCTTCTCTCTGTTCAAGCCCAAAGACCCCAAAATCTCCGTCAACGCCATCCAACTCCCTTCCTTCTCCATCTCCAACGGGACCGTCACCTTCACATTCTCACAGTACGTCACCATTAACAACCCTAACCGCGCTGTTTTCACGCACTACGACAGCTCACTGCAGCTTCTGTACGCCGGAAGTCAGGTAGGGTTCATGTTCATCCCCGCCGGAAAAATCGCCTCCGGGAAGACGCAGTATATTGCTGCGACATTTTCAGTTAAGTCGTTCCCCCTGTCGGCTAACCAGCCGGAGAGCGTGAATTCGGGACCCAATGTGACTGATGGGCTGAGTGGATTCCGGGTCGGTCCGGCTATGGAGATTGAGTCCAGATTAGAAATGTCGGGTCGAATTCGGGTCCTGCATTTCTTCACACATCACGTGGAGGTGAAATCTGAGTGTAGAGTGGCCATTGCTGTAAGTGATGGATCTGTATTAGGGTTCCACTGTTAGCTTCTTCTTTTTCTTCTTTTTTTCTTTTTTTTTTAACTACCATTTTTCTTTCTTAATTAATCATTTCATCTGTGTGTTTTCGAGAAATTGTACAAAATGAATTCTCAGACATTTTAATCTGTGGGTTTAATCGTGATTAAAAGTGACATTTTTATATCAAATATGTATTTAGCTTTTTTCCTTGGCTCCTTTTGGATTAGATGTAGAATAGAAAAAGATAAAAGTTCGAGCTTTAATGGAAGTTTCGCTGGAAAGAAGCGGGAAATCCGGCAAGGGCTGGACACAATTAGTAGGGCAGGTGGTCCTACTGTGGTGGACCGGTGGTGCTCTTATGGTGGTGGACGACTGGGGGCGACACAGGCGTTCGTACAATTATTTACCCCTTACTTTCTTGGGATTGGAGTAGAGAATCTTTTTGACTCTAGGAATTGCATGTTTGACTAACTATAAAAAATGGGGATTTACTATTTATCCAGTGGACCCCTCACAATAGGGGCCTCACCAAATAAAAAAAAATCACGGGCAGCTCAAGGTTGACAATTCAATGTACAACCCCTTCACGGGCCTTAGTAGTGTACAAATATCAATACCCAAAACGCTCTCAGCCTCTCACTATTCTACGAACCACAAAAATATGTTTGCTTCTATTTTTGAACATGTTTCAGCCTCATTTTTGGTATAAATGTATTTTGAAATAGTAAATTGATGAAAAATAATTGATTAAAAAATGAGGAAAAATTTTAGATTTACATTTAGGCTATGTTGGAGTCACATTTTTTCAAAAAAATACATTCTTAAATAATGGTTTGATATCATTTCAACCACACATTCTTTAATAAAATAATATTACACGCAAATTCAAAATTTTTCTTTATTTTTTAATCACACATTTTTTATTAATACACTATTTAAAAATGTATTCTTAATAATATAATGTGGCTCAAACAAGGGCCTAATATTATTTATTGAAGAATGTGTACTTGAAAAGAAAAGAGAAAAATGTATTTTGAAAATAATGACGATCAAACAAAGGAAAACTATAATTACAAATATAAATTTTTTATATTTTTAATATATCACTACATTAAATAATGATTTAAATGAGCATAGTTCGTATTTACCGATAACAAGACACCCATTACAATGATTGTTTTGGCAAAATGAATTTTAGAATAATATTTTTTTTAAAAAGAACATGTAATTAAAAATTTAAAAAAAATTGATTTACGTGCATGATATTTTGTTGTAAGTATGTGATTGAAAATGAGTTCAAATTTTTTTTTTTTTGTTTTAATGATTGTTAAAGAGGGATTAAATATAAATATATTAGAAAATTAAAAAAATAGGTATGAACGCAACAAAGTTGACCTAAGCATTTCCTCGAAAAACTTAGAGCCAAAAGCTTGAATGAGATTTTAATGTGAACAAGCAATTTTAATTAGAAGCATACTTCACAACCCTCTCACATCACACTAGTGAGCTATCAAACTGAGTGTACAGCTCAGCATTTTTCTTTTGATTAAGTGCAGTATTTAATTGAATCGGTCAATTTTAATACTAAACATGCTTGGTTCTCATGCAGTTTTAAGTTTTCAATTCTTGGCCTCCAATCATACAGAGTTTTTCAACTTTTGTAGTTGAAGCTGTTGAACTGATCGATCTAAATCCGAAAACAATGGTAGAGACTCGAATACAATACACCACTAATTGAATCGAGACGAGAAATGATAGACCTGTTTGATGAAGAATTTTTTAAAATATATCTCGTGAAAAGTGATTTTCATTTTATGAGTAAATGATTAAAAAGTAGGAAAATTTATAAACCCACGTGTATTATTATTTTATTGAAAAGATATATGGTTGAAAATGAGTTTGAAAAATAAATTTTGAAAAAATTGTACCAAACAGGGACTATATACATATATTTCTGTTGAACTTAAAAAATAGGCCAATGGGCAACACGTGTAGTTCGAAACAATATACATGTGGATGTATTTTTTAGACGAAGAAGATGTAACGTAACGAGCAATTTTTTAGGTAGAGAAATGTGCACTGCTCTTTTTTTATATTCAAAGATTCATCCCTTAAAATGTTACAAGAATAGCTATTTATAGTGTCAAACCAACGTGGTTATCATTGAATTTGATCCACGTGGCCTGATCTGCTAGAGCTTGATATCACATGAACTCTATCTCACATTAATTACATTGACAGACATTTAACAAAAGATCAGACATTTTATATTCCTAGACTGACATTCCTGATATCTATAAAGTGAAAACGTCATATCGATCAGTTCTTAAGATACGCTTATTAGACCCTCTTGGCGTCTAGGACCTCGAGTGCCAATGGGTTCGACAAAAGGAGTAATCCACTTCGGATGATCAAAGACTAGAACCACTTCGGAGAATTCCAATAAAACAACCTTAGTGTTTAGTGTAGCAACTTCGACCGTCAACCTCTTTAATAACTCCTCCTTTACTCTTGAACCAATGCCATGTGTATGAACATGAGGCTTCCACGTGGATCTCATTGAGAGCATTATTTATGATCAGTAATAATTTCTTGAAATGATTATTCTTAGTGTACATAAGAGGTACATAAAAGGACATTGGTGTACATAAGAGGTACATAAAGGGACACCCAGTGCCCCCTATTGGAGGGAGGGGCGCCCCTCCAATTTGGGGGTACCGACTGTCCATAATGGACGTTCTTATGTACTTGGTGATATACAACAAGAATAATCCTTCTTGAAATCAGGAAGAAAGAGGGGGGAAAAAAATAGCTTCCCTAACTAATAACATTTTACAATGAAATAACATTGAAATTTTACAATGAAATAGAAGTTGAACATAATCACCACAGATAGAAGGCAAAGAGAATACAGAACAAAACACAATGATACATCGATGGCATCGAGAATAATACTCACACGTTCAGTCAACCAGTTGAGCATAAGTGCATATGGAATGAGGAAAGATCCATGATATCTCACTTGTAAAAATGAACTTTCGACTCGAGATTCAGATCAGGTCGCCACCACTGGTGTATACCATGAGCATCTTTGAAGTCTTGTGACGGAGTGTGATTAACCGTCAGATTCGCTGAAGGAATAAGATGCAGTGGCTCGTCCGACTCCTTACCCATTGCATTCAACAGAAGACCCCCAATCGAATGTTGGGTTGCCAACCTCTCGATACCTCCGATCCCAATTTCCTCCATCTTTTTTCGGTGATCAAAGTATCCTATGTACTCTGAGCAAACGTGATCAGCCCGGTTGACAAACAGACATGGCAACCAACGTGACAAAGAAACAAATGAATCTGCTGACCGTTTCTTCGTGTTCTTATGTTTCATGGCAAAAGCAAGTCCAGCAGTAATCACACTGCCCGCAATTCTAATCCCCTGTTTCACCTTTTTATCCTTGATACTCTCGATTGGGGCAGAAAAGAATGGTGGGTTAAACAAAAATGCTTCAAGAAAGACGCCACTCTTCGCCATATGCTTCCCGGCAAGCATCGCCATGGCCGACCCCAGTGAATGGCCAGCTAACCAAACACCACAATTTCCAAACGTGGCCACCACGTGTCGGACAGCTTGTATGGCTATATTGAAGCGAGATGTCCCATGAAGACCATTTCGAATAATGTGAATGTCCAATTCGAGGTCTCGTGAAAAGGCATCCCCTTTGGTAATAGTGCCTCGAAAAACAATGACGTACCGAGGGGCTTGTTGTGCTGAAGGGCTGTTGTCTGATGCAGTGCAAATGAGTTGATAGATAGCACCAAAGATGGAAGAATCAGCATCATCGATAAGTTGTCTGTATAGCTGAAAATTGAAGAACTTCCACCATGGAGGGGCAAGAGCTTCGCTTCCTTCACGCTTCTCCTGTCGATCCCGCTCCAAAATGTAAACACTCTGAACTAAACTAGCTGCAACAGACCTTCGGTGACTGGCGTTCGTCCTGCCAAAAACAGCATAAAGGATAAGGTGCATGTTTAGTAAATAAGTTACTTTTTTTTTTTTTTAAATTAAAAAAAGGTTATTTCAATAGTAAGGTAGTTACTTTCAAAATTAGTAACATACTTATTTCCAACTTTAACCGACACAAATTTTAGTCTAACTTATTCAAACATGATGTCTGGAATAAAAGTTGCCAAAAAGTAAATTTGATTATCTATTAAGCTTAAACAAAAGAACAGCAGCTCTTTAACTGTAACTATTTTCATTCTTAACGACGACCTTTCCTTGGGGTGAAATTATGAGAGAGCTCTCGCAGACATAAGTTATTATTTCACTACAAAAAGTTGCTTTATCTCAGATTGAAGAAAAAATGCTACTTTCTGTAAGTGATACCAAGAATTTAATATAAAAGGAGATCACTTTTAGATTGCATCCTTAAATATTGTGATGTAATCATATCATATCTCAACTGGGCATGTATCTTTCTAGGCTTTCACAGTTTTCATTTATATATTCAAATGATACCATAAGCACTTTGGGGCATCCTTAAGAAAAGTTTTCAATGTGCGCCATTTATCAGATAAATCCCCAGATTATTTATCATTACTTGTATGTTTAGTCAGTTAAGTATATCAGATTCTTAAATGCAAATTGAACATATGATACTGGGAAGACAACTCTATAATCCATATCCTTAACATCTCAAATATTCGCAAACATCATTGAGCGAGCGTCATACCAGTCAACTGTTGTCAGATGCAAGGGTCCTGAGTGATCAAAATTTTCCCTCTCCAAGCCCATTACTTATTTTTATCTTTGTACTTTTCTCGCCTCAGATCTGCACAGAATTATATGAAAAGATGTCACGAGCATTCTAGTCTAGCACACATTAAAAATCAACATAATTACAAAGTCAAGTCAAATCATAGCGAAGAGAGGAGGGAATATCATCAGATTACTTCAAATTATAGACCAAATAACTGCTATCAATAAATCAAGTCTTATTTCCAAATAAACATGAAGTTGGCCACGTCAAAGTCTTTCTTGCAACTCAGTTCGAGGAACGCTATATCTATTCAAAATCTAATGGAATCTAACATCTTGCAACCAAATCTCTCTCTTCTTACTTACTTACCCATTGCTCTGTAAATTAGTGCTTTTTAGGGCTATGCAAAACATATGACAACCCATCTAAGTCATTCCTCCCTTAATTTATACATGTTGGCGTATATTCCCATTTCTTATTTTATCTTTCGTAGTATGATTACACATTATTCTTAGCTCCGTTTGGGAAGAATGTATAAACAATTTAATAGATAGAAAATAGTGGTGAATAAGTAGATACAACTAGGGATGCGTGTTCGTGTCTAATATGCATCGTGTCGTGTCAGCCACCTACGCTCCAAAACACGTGTCCCACATGCAATGTGGTTTATCATATGAGAAAAGTCCGACAAATTTATTTTACGCACGCAACACAACGAGTGTCCAACACGCAATGTGGCGTATCATGTGAAAAGTTCTACGAACTTCATGTCATTTTTTTTACATTTACTATATGCAATTTCAACATAACAATTAGCTTCTCATCAATTTTCAAATTTTAAAAAAAAAAAAAAAAAAAAAAAAAAAAAAAAAAAAAAACAAACAAACAAACATAAACAAAAATACAACAATTCAAGGAAAATAAATAAGCATTGCAGGCATTACCAAATTAACTTCAAGAAAAAAAAATACCTTAAACAGAATGTTGATTTGCAATTGAATGGAAGATGAGATCTAAAGAGACTGGTGAATTTTTATTTATTTATTTATTGTGTGATTTTCTCTTTTCTCACTCTAGGGATTAGAGTGATACAAGAGTTTAAGGGAGTTGACGTGTCATTGTCAAACTTTTATAAAAGGTTGTTTTAATTCAATCTAATATTTATTTTGTACATTTTTTAGAATATCCAATTTTAAAAATATGAGTTAAAAAGTGTCCAATTATTTGAATTTAGCCTCTGTTTGATTTTCATTTTTGGGATAAAATGAATTATGAAATAGTAATTTTTTGGAGAATGTGTGATTAAAAAGTAATAAAAAGTTTTTGAAATTCGTGTATAATTATTTTATAGAAGAATGTGTGGTTGAAAATGAGTTTTTAAAAAAATGCATTCTTGAAAAAATGGAGATCAAACAAGAGCTTAGTATCAACTTGTTTATTATGCCCTTAATGTAAAGCAATATTTTGAAATGGTATTCTCGACATTTTAAATATCGTTCTTGATATTTGATTTTTTTACTAATTTGTCACGAATTTTGAGAAGTTACATTAAAATAATGTTTTTCGACATTTGAACACCGTTCCATTTATCTAGAATGACATTGCTCTACATTTAAAAATGTCGTTCTCGACATTGCTAAATTAATGAAAAACATATCATTTATTGTAATTTGACATGTATACTTTTTGAAATAAATATGTCAAGTTATGTGTCAAAATTTTATTGACCAATAATAATATTGCAAAAATGTCCATTTTTTTGGTCTTAGTGTGGAATTATAAATTGTTAATAAGGATATTTTGGTCTAAATTCTTCCAAATTAGACATTTTTGCAATGGTTGACATTTTTACAAATGACTAGATAAAAATGGACATTTTGTGAAATTTCCTCTATTTCTTTTGGGGGTCCACCATGTAGCACTAAGGCCCATTTGATTCTCATTGGTCACAAAAATAGAAAATGTGATCATTATTCATCACATCAAATTACCTTATTTAACTTTCTATTTTTTTTTTTGATTCCGTAACGACTATATTTTTCATTTTCATTCTTAGAAAAATGAGAATTAATTCAAGCTAAAATTGGAACAATGTTACAGGTACAAAAAATTTTGACAGAAAAATCTTACAAATGACACATAGCACGACATCATTGGAAAATAAAAAAGAAAAAAAAAGTCAAATCATATTTACCACATCAGTGTCAGTATAAGCTCTATTAAAATTTTCCATGTGTTTTTTTAAGGGATAATTGTAGCTAAGATACAAAACCTTTCATTTAGTAAGAGGCTAAACGCAAATCTTTCATTTATACCATCCACAATTCCAAACATTTCAAATATTTGCACATAGAGTTTAAATATATGGAAACTGTTAATTTAATCGTTAATTAACCGAATAGTGGAATTTGATCAGATATAATCAAGGAAAAATAGTAACTTTAGAATTCTAAAACCTAAAATAATTTTAAAAAACGAAAATAAAAAGGAAAATAAAAATAAAAGGTTGTCTGCTTCATCACCCCTACCTAACATTGTTTCCCACACCCCAAAATCAAACACGACCACCGCCACCCAATGTTGGCACGGCTGCAAAGGAAAATGTAAGGCTAAGGGTTTACATGAGGTAATTCAGTAAGTTCTAAGGAAGTGATTTTGGCAAGCCCTTTTCACCTTGTGTAATTAGCACAAAAATATTATTATTTTCAATATTATAGTGTAAAATGTCATTACCTTTCATTTTTTGATATTTCACCCATACTTTTTCATTTCATTGTGAAAAATATAATTTTCATCCAATTTCTAAATAAAAAAGAATGTAAAATAATAAATATACTCTCCTATTTGAGTAAAACAAGAAAATGAAAAGAAAAATTAAAGAACAAATTGTAATTATATTCTCAAATTTATTTAATTTTTTTAAAATCGTAAATAAGTTGAAATAAATTATTTAAAGGGTAATTAGCACAAAACATCAGCACATTTCAATATTATTGTACAAAACGTTCCTACTTTTTATTTTTTACATTTTTACCCTTATTTTTACATTATATTGCAAAAATAATCATTTTCATCCATTTTCTCAATTAAAAATTATAAAATGACAAGTATACCTCCTATTTAAGTAAAACAAAATAAAGAATAAATTGCAACCACATTCCCAAAATTTTCAAAAAAAAAAGTATAAATACATTCCAAATAAATAATTGAAAATGGAAAGTGATTTAGTTTTCTAATTTTTTAATTATTTACTTGAAATTTATTTGTAATTTTTTGAAATAATTGAGGGTATAGTTGCAATATATTTTTGTTTTATTTAAATACGAGGGTATATTCGTTATTTTATATTTTTAATTGAAAAAATAGATGAAAATGATAATTTTCGCAATAAAATGTGAAAATAAGGATAAAAATATCAAAAAATAAAGATATGGACGTTTTGGATAATAATAATAAAAGATAGAAACCATTCTGTGCTAAATACCTTTTTGATAATTTATTTAGACTTATTTACAATTTTTTTAAGTTTGGGAGTATAATTGTAAGTTTTTCTTTAATTTTTCTTCTTTTTTTTTATTTAAACATAAGAGCATATTTATCATTTTATATTTTTTTATTGAGAAATTGGATGAAAATTATATTTTTCGTAATAAAATGTGAAAATAAAGGTAAAAATGTAACGTGAGGACGTTTTATACAATAACATTGAAAAATAGAGTCGTTTTGTGTTAAAGACTATTTGCACCTTCCACGGTGCAGAATTAGTAGAATTTCGCTCTCTCTCATAATAGCAATACGTTCCCCAGCTTATTTTCTAGCCTCCGCCCCCAATAAATGACCATAGTTTGGGAAATCATCAAAGAAGTAAAAATCAGCCTTAACAACATAAGTGGAGTAAATTTAACCAATAATCACTGAACTTTACACTTGATTACTAATTGCTCACTCATCTTTTACATATTACTGAATGCTCACTCATCTTTTCATATAATTACTCATTCACCACTCGTCTCTTCAAATAATTGGGCTACTTTTACGGCAAATTTTCGACAACTTCCGACTACAAAGAATGTCAAATTTTGATACCGTTAGAAAGCCCACGATGTCCTCTTTAATTACCACCCAAAATCTCATTATAACTCCAAGGGATTCGATCGAAAAATTGCCTTAAAAGTCGCCCAAAAAATCTGAAAATCTGGGCAGATTTTCAAAATTTTTGGACAACTTTTAAGGCAATTTTTCGATCGAATCCCTTGGAGTTATAATGAGATTTTGGGTGGTAATTGAAGAGGATATCGCGAGCTTTCCAACGGTATCAAAATTCGACATTCTTTGTAGTCGAAAGTTGTCGAAAATTTGCCGTAAAAGTCGTCCAATTATTTGAAGAGACGAGTGGTGAATAAGTAATTATATAAAAAGATGAGTGAGCATTCAGTAATCTGTGAAAGATGAGTGAGCAAGTAGTAATCAAGTGTAAAGTTAAGTGATAATTGGTTAAATTTACTCACATAAGTGAAACCATTGCTGATAATTTGCAAATTAAAACAAAGCTGAAGAAATAGTTGATAATAACCCTCCCACCACCCACAATATATTTATACACCCACTATAATCCACCGCCGACCACCGCACAGCGCATCAGAAATGGCTTCAAGAATTTCCCGAAGATGTAAGCTTTCATCAATATGTATACACCAACTAAAATCCAAACACCCAACTCAATTTCAACCTCCAACCCCTCTTCAAAATTCATACACGGACGTTAAATTATCCTCACAAATCAATACTGATGACACAATAACCTCCTCCTGTAATATGCTCCAAGTGAAACCTTCACCACAGATCTTGTCATTTTTAAGAAATTGCTAGCCGTCGTTGCCAACACCAAGAACTATGAAGATGAGATTTTTTGTAGAAAAGGTGGAAAAATGAGGAAACTGAGAAATCGCGTAGGGGGGAATCGAACCTTTATACACACACATATATACAACGCTCACCGTCAGAGGAATTGAAGCATGGCCGACGGCGAATCTTCTGGTTCTCATTTGGGGTTGGGTGAGGATGAGGGTTGTTGAAGAAGATGGAATTTGGTGTGGGGTGGGTTTTTTTGGTATTTTAATTTGATTATTATAGTTGTAATTTATATGATAAATGTAAATTTATCCCTATACCCTAAATTAGTCAACTTTTGGTTAGATTATTGACTTTGGATCAACTAACAGATGAATTAACAATTTTCATTCATTTGAATTCCAAGCACGCATTTTTTATAGATTTGGCGTGACTCGAATGAAAGATTTGGGTCAGATCTATTAATAAATAAAATGTTTAATATCGTAATTGCAATTTTCCCTTTTGTTAACTAAAAAAAAAAAAGGTTGAACCCCAACCTTAAGGGGTCCCACCGTTTCGTCCTTCGAGCTTTGTGAAAGAGATAAATCGCAGGATGTGTCCCAACAGATTAGGGAACAAGAGCTGCCTGTACACTGTGCCTACAAAGAGTCCAATTTCATGTCTCAAGAATCGAACCCTCACACTGCGACTGTCAGCAAAGCATGAGATAACTTCACTCCTGTCTTTTGTTAACTAACTTCACACACTTCTTGTTTATGATGATTGATAAATTAATCAAAACATTATTATCTAACCTCTATTATTTCGGAGTTCTAGATTCCCTTTTGTTAACTAACTTCACGCACTTGTTGATGATAATTGATAAATTAATCAAAACATTCTTATCTAACCTCTATTATTTCGGAGTTTTAGATTAAACTATAGTTACTACAGAGTTTTGGTATGAGCTTTTGAAAGCAACACACCAGTAGATGAATGATCAGAATCTCAGAGCGTGAAAGTGTCCCTTTTTATGTCATGTCGCAGGAAAATAGACGAGGGGGCTACTTTGTCTAATCTTTATTTCTGGTTAAAGGTCATTCAAAATTAGGTAAGGATTTCAAGCCTTCTTACAAGTTTGACATTATCTCCTACCTTATTATATTATATTGATAAAACGACTTAACCTCTATAATTAATTGAAAATTAAAATTAAATTTCATTGAAGTCCTCTCTCATAGCGAGGCTTCTTCCACGAGTCTTGTCATGAACGTGCAATCGATTGCAAACAACATTTCTGTTCTCCATTCCCACGACAAAGTAGTGTTCTAAGAACACCTGTTCTCATATCTTTTTCGATCCACCCTTTCTCAAAATACTTAAACAGAATGTCATCTTCAAACCATGTACCGGCATTTTTGCAACAAAACATTTTACAAATAGTATTAAATTTCAAATTGCTATTGATACAGATTTATGATACATGGACAAATAATTAAACTGCATACAAACAAAAGAGGGTCAATTATTTTTCTAGCTATATATACTGCACATTGACCAACAATAGAATAATGCTTCATCTCTGAGTTGCGCAAATTGCAGAAAATTCTCCAAGTTAGGAGATGTTTGTGTTCCCATTCCATTTATCAAAATTTTCTAGTACAAATGCTTATCATGGCCTCAAGCAATTCAACCAGTGAAGTGCAAGAACACGGCGATTTTCTTTGATCCACAGGAGGCAATAACTAGTAGTAGAAAGAGTGATCGAATACTGTTGGGGACAACAATGCAAGTACAATGATACCTTGACTCGAGTACGTTCACCACTTATCTATCGAAAATCTGTTCTGCAGGTATTCGCTCAGAGCTAAGAAGTCTTTCAGCCTCATCACTCGCCTCGGCTTGCAGCCTCCATTTCTGCAGAGACACACAACAAAATTATCGTGTGGAAATAGTCGCACAATATTTTTCCTCCCCGAGGATCGCCTCAGGGGAGTCGGGGGATAAAGTAATAAACATGCCTCCTCAAGGTTTTCAATCTCCATGATTTGTTGGATTTGTTCTGCAATACTTTCCTGCAAGGATGAATAATCAACTTTGAGTAAGCACGGAATAAAAACATTGAAGGGAGATCCTTCGTGCACAATTATTCCGTACTTAGCCCCTGTATGACAACCATTAAAACAAAACTCCTTTTTTTTTGTCAAATTTATTTTTAACCACACGTTCTCACAGTAAAATATTTTGCACGTAAATCCAAAACTTTTTCATACTTAAACCATACATTCTACAGAAAATCACTATTCAAAAATCTTATTTTTCCAAAAAAAGCTCTTTTCAATGGTTACCAAACAGGGGCTTATCAGGAACGGTTATAAAAATACACACTGCTTGCATTTTGCTTGTTTAAGGTCAGGGATTCGGAGAAGGTATGATTTACATGCCAAAAACGCAAATCACCATGTTTGGCTAAACATAAAAAGTTTACTTAAAAATATGATGACAAGTAATAAGTCAGTTCTAGCATAAATTTTTTTATTCATCAACATTAGATGTAAGTAAGTTACATATATCAAGTGTAATGCAAGAGTTACTTTCCAAATAAGAACTCTTTTTTAATTAGAAGTAAGAAAATAGCTTGTCCAAACCCGTTCTGAGACAAAGCAATGGAAGATAATTTAATGATGAGCCACATACCGTGTTACTCACAACTTCAGCAGCAAGAACGTCAGAATCCAGTTCTACCTCAATTTCTATCATTGATGAAATCTGATAAAGGAAAATTGTATCATTGCACGAGTTAATGCAGTCATGTAATGTGGTTTTATTGAGTTTTCTTCCATTTTTGTCTTATTCGACATGGATAACATACTCTTGCATAGCTTGCAATCAGTTCAATCCTATTCTCAAGGGAACTCTCCAGGCCTTCCCGCACCCTTCTGATTTTACTTCTCCGAGCACTAAAAAACCAGAGGTAAAAGATATTTAACAAGCAAATGAGGAGGAAGCCAACTAATCAAATTACGCTATTAGAGGGGTAGTGTCTACCGATAAGAAGGTTCTCCGACAGCAACTATTTTGTTCTCCAATTGGCACATACGTGCCAACATCCAAACCTGCAAAGTAAATAAATCACCTAAATTTATTAATATGCATGACAGAAAATAGCCCATCATTTACAATATCAAGAGTACAATTTTACAAACAATTTATTGCTAGAGTGCACTAAACACCCTTCTCCACAAATTACAAAGAAAGAAAATACTTCATGAAATAAGGGATAGATATGATAAATCATTAAAGGCTCGAATTTCTCAAGCAAGGGATATTCAACAAATCAAATTGTTAAGAAACACTGAATTTTGATCATTTTTGAGGAAGCATTAATCCTGTCTTTGCTCAACTAAATCAAAGATGAGTCGTATTTTTGGTTTCATTCATAGCTATGAAAGGACTTGTTAGCTCAACGTCCCAACCACTGGCCACCAAATTTCCCATAAAATAACAATCTGGCTATAAAATAACAACTTCGCCATCCAACTGGAAACAATATGGCGAGTGATTAATTTGGTTTAGATATTGTTTATTTGTCTTCTTTAGATATATGAAACCGAATTCTAATAAATAATCAATGAAACCAGTGAAGTCACTAATATTTCAAGAGTACCTCATTCTCAGCAGCTTGCTTCAAGTCCTTGATGCGAGACTGAAGTACATCATACTGCGATAACAGCTGCTGCCTGATAGCAGTTACATCCACTAGTTTCTGAGGAAGCTGGCATAGACAAGGAAAAGGATAAAGCATAATATTAGACAGCAAATTCTTATGTTTTAAATTTAATAGTGAGAGATTGCTCATATCTCATGAGAAATATATTATTGGCAAACTTAACAGTATATGCAAACACAGTATGTAATAGGAACACGTTTAGCTAGCCAATGCCGCATATTAGAATTGAGAAGATTCAGCAAAAGGAAGGGAGCTACCTTGTTTAGACTGGGAAAAATTAAACTGTTCAAAGTTGCTCCAAGGGCAAGTGAAGAAACAGCTGCAACTGAAATTAACTGAGGCAAGCTAGGATCTATCATTCCTGAGGCAGCATCGACAGTGGCAAATACAGCAGCAACAGGAAACAATATAGAAGGGTTCAGAAGGGATGTGCTCCTATCTTTTGTGGGAGCTCTTAGTAATGATGATTCTCGGCCATCCCTATGATTTGTCAGGCACATAGGCTCACCAGGGTAGAAATTTGGGACTCTTGGATTAAACTTCAATGGTCCAACCTCTCGATAAACATTCGATGGAGCTGCTAGAGCAATAGTCACTCTTTCTCCTTCTTGGGCAGGGAGGTCAACTGTTTGAGTTGCAAACCTGTGCGTTCTTGCCACTCCTGAAGGGGTCTCCACCTGCAGAAAGGAAAAATGTAAAATTAATCTAAAAACAATCTTGTTATAATAATTACACAAGAAAAATAAAGATTACCAAAGTTTCAGACATCTTAAAATAAAATTTGAAAGAAGAAAACATAGTCTATACATAGGTTATGAAGTCATATATATTTCAAAAACAAATTAGGTTTAAACTTTTATGAAGATTTTGAGATTTATGGTAATTAAATCAATGCAAGTTGAAAAAAAAAACACGCCTTTACTAAACATCACCAAAAATAGAAGAAGTCCAATTCTAAAAAATCAAACATAATACTAAAATATGTACCACAATGGAGTGAACAGCAGCAGGAACGTTTTGCTTCACTATTTGCAGGAATCCTAGCTGCCTTTTCCATGCAGGAACATCCATGCTGCGTTCGGCAGGAGGAGATCCTTAGAAAAAGTGAATATCCCAGTATCAACAACACACATCAATATACTTTTTTATGGCAAACTGAATCAAAAACTAAGGGAAAATAACTTCCATTATTATGGAAGAATATATTGATTTTGACAGGTGAGCAGTCGCCAAATGTATAAGTTGTTTATCAAGAATGAAGCAACATCAAGTAAATGAACAACTAATAAATGGATCATAGTGGAAATGCAAATCAAAATGAAGATAACTAACCTGATTTCTTCTGACTCTATAGCAAGGATGATGCCTGAAATGAGCTCATACTTGTAGCGGCACTTAGAACAAGCAACGATCTGCAGAATTGGGATATTCATGTTACAAGTAAAATAAAATAAGAATAAAATATGCTAAATGAATAAATATTAACTGAAACACATGTAGAGATGTTGAAGATATTTATGAGAACACAATAAATTCCACGCCTGCACTATGTTAAAATTTCTGGTTCAATTCTATGAAGAAGTGCACACAAAACTTATTTAATTAAGATAACACAAAACTTGCACGAGTTTTAGTTTAACCAAGATGGAAGAAACGGTGAATAAGAAGCCATTATCTGCAAATAATCTACCATAAACTGGTCGCCGAGAATGGTTTGTTCATTTTTTCCTTTCCAATAAGCCAATTCCACCCAAAGTTATACTCATCAAAATCATGTAGCAAACACTATTAGACACCACTTCCATCAAGCCTGAATACTGTCAACACATTATTGTTGGAATAAAAAGGCATTTCTAGTGATCAGGAACGAAAAGGAAATTCAGTTTCTCTCCGAAAATCCTCGAAAAGTGAACAATTGAAATAAAGGGCCTGCCAGTCCATAGTAAATGTTGTAATCTACTAATATCTAGAGAGTATTTTTCTATAGATAAGTGTCAATTGTGAAAGGATTTAACACAAAATCAAGATTCAAAGTGCATGCCTGAATACCATCCTGCGGTTGAGAAACAGCAACAGCTATCATACAACTGGGACATCGCACGACCTTACCAAATGGGACCTGTACATTCGTCGTCTTAGTAAGTTTGTTAAGAAAGAAGCATACGAGGCAGAAACATGAGCACCGATATTATCACTTCCTAAAAGACCATGGTTGCATTTGAACTAACTTGTACAGATGCTTCACAGTTGGGTCACACAAGGTTGCTTTCGTGTAAGTTAACTATTTAAAGAGACACTGACTTCGTGGCGGAATCTTTAAGAAGGTTTTGTAAGTTCTTTTTTCTTGACATATTGGAATTAGTTTCCTTAACATTGTGTTCTATTTAAAAATAAATAAAATTGTTCATGAGATTGTTATGGTTTAAAACTATGGACCCCGATTATTTGTTTATTTACTTTTGACCACCTATTTGACCATTTGACATTTAAATCTATCTTTTTTGGGTTAATTTATTGACACGGTTTTTAAAACATTGGTTTTACCGTACAATATATATGACATGCATAAATTAGATTGTACTAGTCGATTTTTGTTTGATAATGCGCAGGAATTCCATAATTTATCATTACCGGTCCGCCACCCACAGCCTTGCACGCATAGGTAAGTATTAAAGAGATGTTTCTACCGTGTCTTACGGGCGTAAATGAAAAGCTACTCACAAAGAGTATCTATAAGCAGCTAAGTTACCTCTTCACCAGGAGACATTCCTACTCGGCAAACAGAATCAATCATTTTGAGGGCATCCAAAACCCTCAGTGAGGCTGCAAGACCCTTAACTAATAATGTGTAAGTATGTACATCTGGCATCGACCACTTCCATCTCTGAACTGGTATAACTTTGTCACTTACAACTGTCTCTCAAATGAAAGTTACCACAGCATCCAGTACGGAGAAAAATCAACAAGAGGAACAGGAAAGCAGTAAACTGGAACGAGTCAATTTTATTTTTATTTTTTTAAAAAAACATGAGCAAAGACAGTAAATAATTTTCTTGACTTGTGTGCTCAACAATTTGGAAGAAAAATCCATTTTATCGTGTTTGAAACTTCTTTCTAGCATTTGGAAACTAATATCCATCACTTTTAGGCATTATTATTACTCATTGGTGAAATTAAATTAAAGGCCGTTTTCTTTCCACAAGACAGATTTCAAGAATTTGGAAATAGAAATGAAAGCAAATTCAAAGGAACATTTCTATTGAAGGAAACAACTAAACTATCAAGCAACTAAGGCCAATATACTTTGTTGTCATCTTCAGAGAAAGAAAAGATCAATGTACTTCCATCAAACAAAAGATCCTTTTAAGGATCCATAAACTAAAAGGTTATTATGCTTTTAATTTTGCCAGTTATAAAAAATGCATATACATGTATTCATAAATCGGAAAACAACTAAACAAAAAATTCAATATACAAAGCAACACCTGCAATCATACCCAAATATGCATCTCCCTGGTGTGCAAACACACACCTTATAATGCACAGTCAAAGTTCAGAACTATTTTCTTAGAACCAACAATGAAAATTGGAAAACCAAATTTTGTACCCTCAGAATGAACCATTCTTCATTATACTCTTGAATTCATAACTGTGAATGTTGAGTTACATGTGCTACATCAGTCAATCTAGTATACAAGACCAGACAACTTCTGTAATTGATGCTTTAAAATGAAAGATGTACATATAAAAATGAATTGATAAAACACAATATACACGTTGACTACCTTGTGTAAAAAATTAGGCCCTCAAAGAAGGGATGCATTTATTTATTTTAGTCTTGAGCATGTCCAGCACAAGAGATTTTATTTTTTATTATTATTATTATTATTTATTTTTTAACAAAGGCTTAACACATGCACAAATTTTAGCTGCAAAACTTAAATGCTGAAGCTTGCTACCACATAAAAAGTTTAAACCACCTCCTCTTAAAGCTTACACCATTAGAATCTAGAGATGTAAACGTCCTTTTTAATCTGTTAGTGAGGACACCTTTATTTATTTAAGTTTAATCTTTATTTATATACATACAAATGTTCTGGCATACCTGGGTTGAAGCTGGAACGCATGGCGGAGAAAACAGAGAGTGCCAAATCAACATTTCCACTATCAAGGGCGGCCGAGATAATCAATCGACAATCAGAACCGCTCAAAACTCCACCATTTTTCTTCGTTTTCTCCGCAATCACATTCAATACTCCACTAGCATCCTCAGCGGCCGCAATAGCGCTTAAAATTTCACCATCCACCACTTCCGAAACCAATGCTTCCTCAGATGATGATGACACCTCATTCTTTCCCGAAAACTTAATGAAATTCTTAGAAATGCGAAAACCCTGAAAGATAGAGCGGTTCTTGAAGAGGAAACAGTAATTGTGAAGTGGGGTTGTGAAGTTTTTGGGGTAATAGTGATGGGGAAGGCGGGAGATCCAAGGGGAACAACAACACAAGTGAAGAGTCATTTACTCGTCTATCAATTATAGATGTTTTCTCCTGTGTAGAAATGGCAATCCGAATTTGTGAGGGTAGAGTTTCGTGAAGTGGTGCAGTATACAGGTGGGATTGTGGGAGATAAGAGATCAGAAATGTGAGGTTAGAAGAAGAAGAAAAATATTGGGGGTGCCGTGGGTGGGAGTGGGGTGGTCATGATGCTGATGGCGGGAGGTCTAACATTTTCTTAACTCCGGTCCATACAAGGGTTATTCTATGGGTAATGGAAATTTGCACAGATGACTTATAGAAATTTGAATTGGCTGACCTGACACATATTACACGTTTTTTCTTTGGGTTTATCTAAAAAGGTTGAACCTCAACCATGAAGATTCCGTCCCTAGAGTTTTATGAGGGAGGTAAATCACGGGATATATCCCAGCAGGTTAAGGAACAAGAGCTGTCTGTACATTGTGCTTACAAAGAGTCCAATTTCATGTCTTATGAATAGAACTTTCACATTGCGGCTGCCAACAAAGCGTGAAATAATTCATTGAATTTATATGCTTGTACAAGTTGGACAGGGGCCTGTCCCCATAGCACAACCCTTTTTTATTTCCTTTTCATTTTCAGCCAGAAATAGGTTCCAAAAGAAATCTATTGTCTTCACCCTTAAAATGAACCAGTAGTATTTTCCCCCCAAATCACAAAGCAAGAGCAAATCGTCGCTCTTCATCGCTGAATTTCTGGGCCGACAAAGGAAAAACAAGCACGGTTCCACTGATTGGCGCCATCCTTCTAACGTAGTGGGAGGCAGGCCACCGAAACCTAACATGGAAATAGTATTTGAAGATCATCTAAGTCGAATCATAGATGATGGACAAAGGTAATTTGCTTCTTGGTTTTAAGTATGTTAGCTCGTACATTGGTCGACCCAACGATTAGATTATGTACAACAACATTTTGCTTATGGGGTAGAGCCTTCATTTGTTGCCTGTGTACCCTTTTCTTAACACGAGAGGAGTATATGATGTGAAAGGGTAGTGATAGGGGATCTTAGAATTAGTTAGGTATTACCTAGCATGTGGCCACTTGAACATTTGATTAATTATGGACTCAGCAATTCAGTATTCTATTTACGAGCAACAAATGTTACTGCAGTATTAAAATCTGGAAGAAACCAAGATCACAGTAGATCCAGACCTAAGTGGTGAAAAGTTATTAATGGTATTTTGGCCATCTATATAGGGGTGTCAATGAGCCTGCTCGCGAGCCGAAATTTTTGGCTCGAGCTTTTTTAAGGCGGACTTTTTTTGGCTTGAGCCTAGCAAAAGCTCGACCAAAAAAATACGGCTCGACCTGAGCGTTTGGCCCAAGCTCGATTTTCTGGAATCTAATCTGCTGCCTTAACTAGCAGCAAATTTTTACTCCCTTTTTGTAAGCCTTGAGCGAAGCCGACTCGAACTTTTTCCGGGTTGAGTCGGCGACCCCTATTGCAATCCTTATCTATACATTGGATTCACTGGCACATAGATCTTTTAGTTGATAGTCCGACTTTCTCCTTGGTTTTAGATTACTTAAATCCTGTCCTCATTCATATGTTCAATTATCATTTGGCTGAGTGTATTTTTGGTATTGTTAATATTCTTTGCTCAGAATTGGAATGATTATGTGAAGATAACAGTGATTCGAGAAGCTATTCTATGAATTGCTCTTTTTTGTGCCATTAATTTTTTTCATCCAAACATGTTAATTACTGTTAGTGGTAAGTCGTGCATTTAGTTACATGTAATTTACAACTTCTAACAAAATCACAGCATTTGTTGTAGGAAAAGAGATTATGGAAGATGAGAATCTTGATTTTGTTGTAGAATGTGATAACGAGAACATAGCAGCAAATTTGAACACATCGGACAACGAAAAATTAGGAGGAGATGTTGTGACTAAGCCTGAGATGGGTATGATGTTTAATAGTGAAGAAAAAATGTTGGACTTCTATAAAAGATATGCTTAGCCATAGGTTTTCCAGTGAGGAAATGCAATTTGAAAAGGGGAAGGACGGAGTTATGAGATATGTGACGTTCACATGTAGTCGTAAAGGTCGAAGAATTTATGCTACAGGGGGTTCTTTGAAGCCGAACCAACAAGTCAGAATGGATTGTTAAGTAAGAATATCTGCATCATTAGATAATCTTAGAATATGGAGAATTAACAATGTGTACCTCAAGTATAATCATAAGACAAGTCTTTCTAAGTCAAGATTGTCTCGATGCAATAGAAAGTTGACTGCAAGTGCGAAACGAAATCTCGAATTGAATGATATGGCAGGAATCTCCTTGCACTAGATTTTTAACTCCGCAGTTGTGGCAGCAGGTGAATATGAGAACATAAACATTCATGAAAAAGGATTGTCGGAACTATATAGAACAAGTGAGACGACTACGACTCGATGAAGGAGATGTCATCAAAATACAGGGGTAATTTTCAAAGATGCAAGCACGGTGCTCGCGATTTTGTTTCAGTATGGACTTAAACAATGAGTCACAGCTGAGAAATGTATTTTGGATAGATAATAGATATTGGTGATCTTACAAAGAGTTTGGCTTGATAATACTTATCTCACTAATAAATAAGACATGCCCTTTGCCCCTCTGTTGGCGTAAATCATTAAGACAATCAACTCTGCTGGTTGTGGACTGTTATTAAATGAAGACACAAGTAATTTTGTGTGGTTGTTCAGGACATGGCTCGAGTACATGCATGGCGAAGCTCCTAATGGAATAATGACTCATCAAGATAGGGCAATGCAAAATACAATTGAGATTATTTTTCTAAATACGAGGCATAGATGGTGTTTGTGGCACATTTTGAAGAAGCTGACAAAAAAGTTTGGCTACCATGTGCATAAGGGCTCCATTTTTCTACTATACAAGACCTATTATATGATTCACAGTTCATTGAAGAATTTGAGCATGGTTGAGGGTGATGCTCGATATGTATGACTTGTACGATAATGATTGGTTGTCGAAGCTATACGATAACAGAGGTCATTGGGGTTTTTATTTTTTGAAGACCACCTTCTGGATAAGGATGTCCACAACACAACGAAGTGAGAGTATGAACGTATTTTTTGATGGATATGTGCATTCGAAGACTTTCTTAAAGCAGTTCGTCGAACGGTATGAAAAAGAACTGAGGAGTAAGGTTGAGAAAGAGTTTCAGCCTGATTTCAAGTCATTTTCTCATATGGTACCATGTGAAACTACTTTCGAAATGAAGAAACAATTTCAATCAGTATACACCATTTCGAATTTCAAGGAAATACAAAATGAGTTCACTGGGAAGGTCTACTGTGATGTAATTTTTAAGAATGAGGAATGTTTTTGGATGAACTATGAGGTTCGTGAGCACCAGAAGAAAAGAAAATTTTACGTCTCATTTCGAAGGGATACTTGCAAAATCACTTGTAGTTGCCACTTATTCGAGTTTCGAGGAATCATTTGTGCGGATTGATTTTCCTTCCCATCACAACATGCGAACGCCACGGTGGATTTTCTAGGCTTAGCACTTGAATGACTCTTCCTGGTACTTACTGCAGATATTGGAGGGAAAGGTGGTTGTGGAAGACGAGGAGTGCGAGGAGGCAGCGAATGCGGTGTTGGTGGTGCAAAGGTGGGGTGAGGATTTCTGACGAGAATCTGGTGACTTTGCTATAGGTCGGGTTTGGTATCGGTAAACACTCTAAATAATTGGAGGAATTTTGGCAATTTGTGGATGGAGACTGTTGGAAATGGTGGGTCAATTGGGTCAACTTTGACCACAATTTTAAGTGGGACCCGATGTTCGATGTATCGAAATTAATGTTCAATTAAATTCTACGTTCCGAGTAGATGAGTGTAGAATATTTAATTGTGAAAAATCACTTCAATATGAATGAGAAATTATGGTTGAAAGTTGGACAATAAATAAGAGGAATAAATGGGAAAGAGTTGGAAAAATATTCCAATCCCACATAGGTTGCAAACACAACATTTAACCACTTAATAAGCTTCAAGTTTGGATATGGGTTTGGGCCCCAAGGGGTACCAATAGTCTTTGAAAGGGGGGAGTCTTAGACAATGTCTAGACTAATCCAAAGGACACACGCGCCGCCGTCGCCCGTCAGTCCGACCGGACGGGTCAGGTTGTGGGTGTGGGCCTGTGTTAATATTAATTTAATTTTTTTTAAATTCAATTAATTCCCTCCCTTTGATAGTTTATTAACCGACCCATCAGTTTGCTAAAACTGTGCGTTAAGTGGGCGTGAGTGGTGGATGGAAACTGCTCAACCGTCAACTCTCTCTTCTATTTGAATGGTCCTCAGGCTTTCAATTTTATAACACACAGAAATATCACGAAATCATTCTGCATACATACTCTTCTTTTCTGCAATAGTCTACGGAGAGTACTTCCGTTCTAGTTCGTTGTCTCGCAGTCGAAGTGCTGCTTCTGCAAGTATCTGATCGCTGTATCCTGGGAGACGCTTTACCACATACCGTAAGCACTGTGTGACGGGGTAAAAACGTCTTAAGAACAGACAGCCTAGTTCTCGCCTCGATCATCCTCATTCCGAATTTTGGACTTCTTTATACTTCTGTTTTATTTTGTGCAATTCATTTTCATAAAATGATATTCTGTTTTACTGTTTTGCAACTGTTCATCTGGTTTAGCAAGTCATTCATGTAAAATCTGTTCTGTACAACAAATTCGAAAAAACGAAAACAACAATCTTAAGACGTTTTTTATAAATTATTTTCCAAAATTGTACTTGCTTATTTCTAACATTTGCAGACTCTTATGCGAAATTACTATTCTGCAGAATTTTAATTTGTAAGTTCTGACCGGTTGATCTTTTATTTTGAAAACAGAAATGGCTAACACTGTTGGGATCAATGCAATTCGCCCTGCTGTGGCTATGACGCCAACTGTGGCTACCTGGTCCTTCTGGTTCAACTCATGTTCCTCACGGAGAGAAACCTGAAAAATTTAATGGGGTCGATTTTAAGAGATGACAGCAGAAAATGCTGTTCTATTTCACCACTCTGAACCTGTCAAAGTTTCTCACGGAGGATCTTCCTACTATTCAACAAGGAGAAAATAATCGAGCTTCGATTATTGCCTTGGATGCATGGAAACATTCCGATTTTTTATGCAAAAATTATGTACTGAATGATTCGCTATATGGTGTATATAGCATAATGAAAACTGCAAAAGAACT